GTCTCCTTAACTTTTGCTGAACAGCAGACAGTGCAGCCTCTAAGTTATAGAAAAGTGCTGAATGTTTCAAATGTAGCTTAGGAGTAATTCAGCATCAGGGTACAAGGCTTTGCTGGTGTAACCGTAAGAAAGTCAAAAGAGTCAGTCTGGATTGCAGAATTCTTTAAAATGAGGCACATCATTTCTCTTTATTCTGAGAAAGTCTAATTTTAAAGATGCTTTTTGTTAAACCTATTCAGCAATTGTTGGTCAGCAAGATCTCCTAAATCAGAGCTGTGGTCTGTTCCTATTCAGTGTCATAGAAAGGCCATGTACCCTGTACATTATGCCCACACATCAAAATACATTTCTGCTCACTGTTATTAGAGCATTCGTATTGTACTATCTTCCTGATTGTATTGTTTATAGTTTATATTTGTGTTCATGTGCCATGTTTAGAGCTTTAGTAAAGTGCAAGTGCGTTTTCAGAAGGGAATGCGTGTGTGGTTTGGAGCTACATGCTGTAATGTAAAAGTACCTGTTGTGCCGTGTGGCCACTGGAGGGCAGCAGAGGAGCAAGTCAGTGCGACGATCAGTTGTGAATGAAAAGAAACATGAGACACAAAGCAATAAGTCTCCCTGCCTGAAATGAATACTTTACAAGCTTATGGTCTTTTTGCCTAATGTTCATCTTCATTTTGCACAAGCTGGGAATTATTTGTGGTAATGTGGTGTCTCAATTCAATGTTTACAAAGCTTTAAGTGTGATGGGCAGCTTGGTCTTCACTTGCTAGAAAGCGTTTTAAAATCAGACCATTATCCCTCCCGACCAACATCTTCTGGAGATTGTAAAGAACATTTGTTTTTGTCTGGCAATGTTTAGCACTGCCAACATTTCATTTAATATCATTTACTCCTTGTCAAAAATGTATAGAAGGTTTAGTGCAACATCTCCAGGTTAGCAGGTAGTCTGTTTTTGCTTATGTTAAGGTGTGGTTGTGTTTAGTGTAGCCAAGTTCAGTTAACCAATAATATATTAGGCCAACAGTGAAACACCCTCTCTGATACATATGTGGTAACTGTGGCTGGGGTCACCTTTAAATAGCTGACAACACCAACTCCTGTTGAGGGGATGGAGGAACCTGTGGACCCTCAATCTAAATCCAAAGTTGTTTTGCAGATGTTGGGGCTTCCCTTCACAAGGACAATAACAGATGCATTCATGACCAAATAGAATGCAGCTTTATTTCACAAATATAAATGTTAAAATGTCAATGTTCAGCAGCAGTCAACGGGTAAAAGGGTGAACATACTTTACACTATTACATTGCTGGTTTCCCCTCCTCAGATGGGCAGGTCTGGTCCACTAGGTCACAATGCCTGCTAACTGTGAGGGACAAAAAGAGAACAAAAGCACGCACTACTCAAATCACAACTTCTACAAAATGATTACAGTGAGAGTAGTTTACTCACCCTTTTAAAGTGTCACACGGTGCAGTCCCTACCCCCAGAGGGAGAGGAGACTGTAACACAAACACTTAGTCAATTATATTGCCCACAATCTGCACACAAGAAAGCTATTGACAGAAAATAAAACTAAAAAAGCACTAGAAATCAGTAGTCTTTTTAAAAAAACACACAAGATAATAGTTGCCAGCTCAAACACCAATTCAATATAACATTAAAAGAGGGTTAAAAACCAGGCACACTTTTACAGAGTAATAGATCCTCCTTGCTCAATCCAGGAGGGGAAACGGTCATACTCGCGTACCGGCAGTGGCGAGCCGTCAGGGCCCTCTAGGCCCTCTGTGAGGGCCTAAAATATTCCAAAAAATAATATTTTAAAAAATTTAAAAAAATTTAAAAAAAATTAAATATATATTTTTTTAATATTATTTTTGTTATATTTTTCATTAGTTTTACCGAAAAAAAACTTGATTTAATTGTATTTAAAATAACATTTCCAAAGAAATAAATCCTTCGAATCTGCCTGTTCAGTCTCTGTTTGAATGTGAAGGGTTACATGAAAGAAGCTCGTCTGGCCCTCTCTGCGATTCACAGAGTATAGTAACTGAACGAGAGAGTAATGTCAAATGACAGTACAATTGACCAATCATATCTTCCCTCTAAATGGGTGGGTTTTATTATCGCAGACTTTATGACAAGTTCCGCCCGCTGTGAAACTTTTCTTGTTTCCATAGCAACAACAACTTCCTGTCAACAGCGTGAACTCGCCTTCAAAATAAAAGCATGCCAAATTACACTTAAGACATACAACTGCAACGAAAGTAACAAACACAATGCAATATCATTTTCAATGTCAAAGAACACAAATTGGGTTCACAGGTGTTGTTTTGTGTGGTAGAGGGTCGCTGTCATTGATGCGTTTTGCACCCTGGGCCGTTGTTTTGATATTCCGCTGAAGTATACGCTGTGACGTAATAACTTTTTTCGAGGGAAGGGGTGGGGGTCAGAGGGCCTAGGTATAAAGCTCACGGCTCGCCACTGCGTACCGGTGAGTACCGGCCCAATTCAAGCACTGGTGTTGAGAGATGTATCCATAGATCTCTTAATTTTGCTCTCAAAGTGCACCAGATTGATACTTTTAACTTCAATATTTAAAAACAAATGTTCCCGGGGTAGCATGCCCCCGGACCCCCCTAGAGGAGGTTAGGTCCACGGTGTTTACATCATGGGCGTAGGAAGCATCCTGAATGTGGGGGGGACATTTATAACGGGGGGTGAAAAAATATATAGATTTCCTGTATTCTGGTGCATTTTAACAGGTGGTTTGATACTTTTATGTGGCTATACTAGCATGAGGAAAATGATGGGTACATTTTGTAATTTCATCCAGTACAACAATAAATATTTGTGAGTGCATTGAGAGATATTGTTGTGGAGAGTCATTTATATATAAATCGCAAAATACATTTGTGAATCCTTCTGTGAGCATTTATTAATATTGAGACTGATCTGACTCCATACGGATGTTAAGTTCACCTAGGAATGGTATCATTGACTTAAATGTTCAAATAAATGTTGCTCTTCTGTCTATATTGGTCATATGATGCCCCTTGACTGAAATGTTTCCTGTTCAATATCCCCACTGATTTCCTTAAAATCCTGGGATGAGAGTCCACATCACAATTTACTCTCAACTGTCATTTCCCTTTCATCACTCACCTCAGCAATGGACCTCTCTCCACTGTCCCTGTATTCTGCCTCTGACTCACTCTCAAGTCCCTAGATGTCAAGAGAGGTGGTGAAGTGATAATTATTTATTGAGCAGTATACTCTTTCACATTGAATCATAACAAGTCATACTGAATGTAAATACAACTGACTCTAAAGTAAGTCCCAGTCTGTGACATTGGACATTTTGAAGACTCAAAGTCCCAAGCAGTAGGTAGAATATTAGCTAGTCTATGTAATGTGCACAGCAAATAAATAGTTAACTGAATACTGGGATGGAAATAGCCTATAAGCACTCAGTAAAACATAAACACACACAAAAAGCTTCTGAATGATAAGTATAATTAAAACATAATGCACATTACCATTTTGAGAGAGAGTACCTAAATTAAAGAACTCAGAAAATAATCTCGTATCGAACTGAGGCTCCAGTAAAACACACTGACTGCGTCTCTACATGGACATCAGTAAGCCGTTTATGAGTATTATCCCGGTTATGATCATATTGGGGATATGGTGTTTACATGAGCACAGAGAGATCGGGTTATTCATGTTCCCTGTTTACATGATAAATACTAGTAACCTGGCATTTCGATGCCTTTTCTCATCTAAACTATTCAGTATTTGTATCTCTCTATCATGACATAAAGACGAAACTCCTCTCCAGAAGTGAGACTCCGCCATCACTGTTAACTGATTAACTGCTACCAGCTGATGACTTACTTTCCTCTTCTTTGAAAAAAATGTTCTTATGTCCATGTTGTCTGGGGAAGAAAACATATCAAACCAAGAGATCGTCAGCTTTGATTTTCGCTGTATTAACCATTTCCTGAACATTTGGTGTGTGTGCCTTACCTCCGCTACCGGCATCGCTTCATACAACAGATCTGAGCTGTCCAACTATGACAACACTCCTTGAACATGCGCGCGCTATGTGAGAATCTGCCTTGGTACAAAGTAGCAGTGAGAACATGGTACGGAGTTTCATTGATTTGGGCATTCTCTCAATAAGCAAGTGGAATGGATTTCATTTGATAGTGAAGCACTGACACAGCGCTCTACAAAGTGCGGCGAGTGGATAGACCGATTCACGGACTTTCCGCATAGTAAAAGTGGGGGGGTCTAAACTAATCATTTGAAAAAGTGGGGGGGACTTGTCCCACCCTCATATAATGGCTGCGACGCCCATGGTTTACATGCTTATTTATACAATATGTGGGCTTATGCTAACATCATAAGACACAAGTTGGTTCCGTGTTGTGTGTAGTGAGAACGTGCTCGAGTGAGGGGGGCCCCCAAGCCAAAGCTCGCTTAGGGCCCCCCAAAGTCTAGGACCGGCCCTGGATATAAGGGATATATGCACCATACTTCACTTTAATTAATATATTACAGCACGATTTTTTGTTGAATAGATTTGAGTGGTTCAAATTTTGGGTTGTGATTTATTGACAAAGGACAAAGTGGGTCCCGAGGCCTGACCAGTTGAGAACCACTGGTTTATACTATCATGTTTAATCATGTTTTATGCCGTTTGCTAAGACTTGATAAGTCGCTCATAAAACACAGGAGGTATGGAAACTAATTACACTATATATTTGGTAGATTTGGCAGAGCTATAACACAACAAACAATGTGATTTGTCTCCACCTCCCCAAAAGAACCAACATCTGACTCGGTGTCCCGGACACACCAATGTGTGTCTTTTTTAGCTGTTCTGTCGTCATTTCCTGCGATCTTCTTCCTGCAGTCAGTCAAAAATGAATATTAATACGGGGCGTTTCTTTGACTATTTATAGGCAAATATGGGCGTCACGTGAAGCCCTCAAAAGCTGCGCCGCATTTCGAGTTGATTGTGAAAGGGAAACCGGTGTAGGACGTGCGTGCACGCAAAACACTGAGGCCCCTGGTCGTCCAGAAAACACACAGAAGGTAAATATTCGCTGAAAATACCTGGCTCAGCACAAATGTCCTCATGTGTAAGTAAAGTTACTTTAGTGGGATTTTAGACATGTGAAACACGACGTGCTCACGTTGTGGACGCCACGTTGTCCTGGTTGAGCATAGTAGCTGCTAGTTAGCTTAATGCTAGAAAGGCTAACAGCCTCCTCGTGCAGCTTTAAGTGCATTGCATATTGTCTCGTGCGGGGCATTTAGCTGGGTGAGGATAGTATGTTGAGTTAAATGAATGAGGAGACTGCATTCATACAGATGTGCAAACGTTTCAGTCCTGATGCACGTAACATGCAAACTGCTTTACTGGCGGCATGGCTTTAGAATATTTATTTAAGGATCTGAGAGCGTTTTCCCTTTAAAAGTCGATAACATTTATTTGAATTATTATTATTCAAATGTCGTTAATGGAATCCTAAGTATGGCAACTTTATTTTTATAAAGTTATTCTGACTCACGTGACGTCACCAAAAACCACCTAAAACGACTTCATGCATTGTAGCATTTCGTAATGCCCTAATATTCAACAACTTGAGACGTAGGCCTACTGTGACAAATAATCTTTATGAATGGCACATGATCAAAGCGGTCTAAACGTATTGAATTTATTTTCAGTGGGGAAACAAGTTACCCAAATCACCTGCTGGGATTATTGCAACGGGCATTTACAAAGTCCTAATCTGAGCCTAATATAGTTGAGTAGTACCAGTTGGATGGGCTTGGATCATTACCAGATTGCTGAGCTGGTCCTAGCAGAGCCACTTGTCAGCAGGACGGCCCTGTGCAGTGGGCTGATCTCAGGACTACAGTCGCTATAGAACGTCAGGTTTTGCTTTCACCTCTGCACTGCTGGTTGCAGAACGGTGTCAATGAGGCCTGGCACATTCACCATGTCTATTGGTTTAGAGATGCATCACTGTTTCCTCTAACCACCCCCCCCCATCAGGTTTCCCGTTTCCTTTTATAACATCTACTTCCTTTTGCTTACAATATTGGCTCAGTTTAATTGTTGGCTGAGATGGCTATGTTCAAACCTCCTGAATAATAACAAACTTATTTTTTTCCCTTTTTATTGCAGGATATGATCTTACGGCTCGCCTCGATGGGGGAAGATTTTGTGCTGCCCCTCTAGGATGTGAGGTTAGTATTTGTTTTCATGGATTCAGTCTAATGGTGTTGTCTATGGCAGGGGTTCCCACACTTTTCAGCCTGCGACCCTCAAAATAACAGTGCCTGACAGAGTGTCCTGACCTGGCTGTGTGTGAGCCCCGCCCCTCACAGCGCGCCTGGCTAAAATGCTGGTCACATCCTTATGTAAACAAAAACGCATGTAAACGGCAATTTATTGAGGTCGGAAAAGTTATCGAGTTCATTTTTATTTATCGTACGATAAGTCAAGTCAGAAAGACAAACAGTGAAACCAATTTAGATGTCATGTGTGTTCTGTCATCACTTCATATCAGACCATGAAACTAGCGGGAACTAGTCGGTCTGCTTCTCTTTTTTTTTTACTGCAGGAGCCTGACAACCTAAACCTTCAGGCTTCCATGGACATTTGACTTGACATAGGTTTTTGGCACAAAGTTCATAAACGACTAGTTTGCATTTAATGTTATCTGGACCTGATACTCTTGTTTTATAAGATCTGGGGTAGGGTAAGGGTGGCCCTTGCTGCTAAGGTATCCAAAACATCATCAACCACTTCATAGCATGTCAGTTTAATAGGCTCCACCTCTTTAAATACAGCAAGCCTGGACATGCTACTCGACATTACTGTTTTCCTCAAATACATGTGTACTGTTGGGATTGATGCATTTCTTGTCTGCTTGGCACAGTATGAGCTCTGGTCCTGTTAGGTGGGCCGTAGAGCTCATACAGTGCATAGAGCAAATATTCTCTTGCAACCCACTGCTGCTGGTTGTAGCAGTGTTACTTATGAGAAAAGACATCTTTTATAAATATACATATTTTTGTTTATGGCAGTCCTTTAAACATTCTTTGTTCTTTGGCAGGTGATGAAACCTTAAGGACAGCTTGGTAAGTTGCATTTCAAAATTCAGTTACTGTTCAAGTGTCATGATGATTGGCTTAATGTTCAACTGCTCTGAAGTGTGATTGAGAGATGCCCAACTGAACAAAATGCAGCAGTCTCTGCTGCCACTGCTTATGGAAACCCATAGTAACTTTAGTTCTGCCTCAACAGGTGTCCTCCCTGGCCTTCAACACTGCAGCATGATGTAAGTACTCTGACGTCCCTTAACAAGAGGGTTTAAACTAACAAGGTGGCTGCTATAAATGCACAAGATTCCAGGAGGAAAACAAACCGTGTTTTCAAAGTAACTGTCGAGAGTGATATGGAGTGTGGAACATGTTGTATAATGACAGCACTGTACGGTATCTGCAGCCAGCTGCTTTCTCAGCTGGTTAGTTCATAAGTCAGTGCGAGACAAAACTCACAAACTGGCATCGTTGGTCTCCATGCTGCCTGTGTGTGGAGTCCTGGTATGTTTGTTGAAACATTATTCATTAGAAAGCCATGTCTTTACCCTGTGTCTGTACATAGTACATGCAAACCACTGCAGATGTAACTAATTTCATCAAAAGGGAGAAATGCATGTCAAGTAATGATAAAACATGAATGCTGCAAACATGTTCTAACTCTCTCCTGCCTGCCTTCTTCAGGTGTGCTGCAGCAGAGGCTGTCCTCCCAGGATGCAGCAGGAGAGGCTGTCCTCCCAGGATGCAGCAGGAGAGGCTGTCCTCCCAGGATGCAGCAGGGCGTCACAGCAGAGGTGAGAGTGTACGACTGTCACAGAACTGAGGTCTATCCCGACTGACCTTTACCTATAGGGCCGTGTCGTTGGAAATACCTCACAGAATAAATCTGTGGTTACGCTTTACCCACATGTCCACTCCCATGAGCATTGTGAGATATTACTGCAGGACACATGCTTATTTTGAAAGATTAAAGGAGAAATAAATAATCTGCATCTTTAGAACTGTTAAATAATGAATTGGGATGTAATTAAATAATCTTGACTTTCAGAATCCTGGGATGTGAAAAGGAGTGACTCCATCTTTTTCCTGTGAGTAAACTGAATTTCCCCTCTGGTATTAAAGCATTATCTAATGAGTGATGCTGCTCTCTGTGTTGGTCATATACCAAGGCTTTCAGGACTCTCCATTCTTGTTTTGCTGTGGAATTGACCAGAAAATAAAAAGCATCCCAGAGGTCTCCTTCAGCAGCCTGCTGAGGAGGCCTGTGGGAACATGATCTTCCCAACTGAAAATGGAAAAATGAGTTTAAAGTTGAGATGTTTGGTAACTGTGATGACTGAATGTGTCTCCTGTGTTTAGGTGGCTGTGATGGCAGAACAATTCTGAGTCAAGAATCCTGAGACTCCAGAACTTTTGAAAGCAGTAGGTGGGTTTGTCTTCCTGCAATTCTGATATCTGTCCAATGATTGGAAACACCTGATGCTTACAGCACTGTACGGTATCTGCAGCCAGCTGCTTTCTCAGCTGGTTAGTTCATAAGTCAGTGCGAGACAAACTCAATAACTGGCATCGTTGGTCTCCATGCTGACTGTGTGTGGAGTCCTGGTATGTTATTTGAAACATTACATCATTAGAAGCAGGCTGACTTTAAAAAGCTGTATGCAGGTGGCTTTAGAACATGCCAGTGAGACGCTTTAACAAAAAAGAAACGTCTTCCTCTTGATAGTTGGCATAAACCAACTTCCTCACACAGCCCATTCACCATATGCTAGTTCTCATTAGAGGTAATGTTTTGGTTATCTCCTCCACTTGAAGTGTTTGTGCAGCGAAAAACCAAATGTGTTGATGGGTTGGAAATTCCTCCCGACTACTCAGTCAAATTAAATGATGATTATTTACTTTGAGGTGCAGCTGGAACAGTCGTGTTTTTACATTTTGGTTATTATCTCAAACTGCCCACCTTTGGTAACTACTCGCATACTAATCTCCTAAACCTTTGCTAGATCACGATAAGATTACACTGATCTAAAGGTATCATGATATGACAGAACTGCATATGCTGACACACTCCTTATTGTCCTCCAGGTGGATGCAGCAGGGCGTCACAGCAGAGGTGAGAGTGTACGACTGTCACAGAACTGAGGTCTATCCCGACTGACCTTTACCTATAGGGCCGTGTCGTTGGAAATACCTCACAGAATAAATCTGTGGTTACGCTTTACCCACATGTCCACTCCCATGAGCATTGTGAGATATTACTGCAGGACACATGCTTATTTTGAAAGATTAAAGGAGAAATAAATAATCTGCATCTTTAGAACTGTTAAATAATGAATTGGGATGTAATTGAATTATCTTGACTTTCAGAATCTTGAGATGTGAAGAGGAGTGACTCCATCTTTTTCCTGTGAGTAAACTGAATTTCCCCTCTGGTATTAAAGCATTATCTAATGAGTGATGCTGCTCTCCGTGTTGGTCATATACCAAGGCTTTCAGGACTGGGCTTGGATCAGTACCAGATTGCTGAGCTGGTCCTAGCAGAGCCACTTGTCAGCAGGACGGCCCTGTGCAGTGGGCTGTTCTCAGGACAACAGTCGCTATAGAACATCAGGTTTTGCTTTCACCTCTGCACTGCTGGTTGCAGAACGGTGTCAATGAGGCCTGGCACATTCACCATGTCTATTGGTTTAGAGATGCATCACTGTTTCCTCTAACCACCCCCACCATCAGGTTTTCCTTTTATACATCTAGTTCCTTTTGCTTACAATATTGGCTCAGTTTAATTGTTGGCTGAGATGGCTATGTTCAAACCTCCTGAATAATAACAAACTTATTTTTTCCCCTTTTATTGCAGGATATGATCTTACGGCTCGCCTCGATGGGGGAAGATTTTGTGCTGCCCCTCTTGGATGTGAGGTTAGTATTTGTTTTCATGGATTCAGTCTAATGGTGTTGTCTATGGCAGGGGTTCCCACACTTTTCAGCCTGCGACCCTCAAAATAACTGGCGACTCCTTTCAACGGGCGGGGAGGGGCTATTGAATAAGTAAATTAATTTAAGTTTTCCGCACTCTCGCGGGAATATCTCCGAAATGGAGCGAGCTTAAGTTTCACTTTCAATTGCATGATATAGCCCAGCGCAACACCAACCAATTCCATTTAACTTCAAATTCCCCTCGAGTAAGTCACACGTTTCCTGCTTGTCTCCAGATTATTCATTTGGCTGTTGCACACGGAGTGTCCTGACCTGGCTGTGTGTGAGCCCCGCCCCTCACAGCGCGCCTGGCTAAAATGCTGGTCACATCCTTATGTAAACAAAAACGCATGTAAACGGCAATTTATCGAGGTCGGAAAAGTTATCGAGTTCATTTTTATTTATCGTACGATAAGTCAAGTCAGAAAGACAAACAGTGAAACCAATTTAGATGTCATGTGTGTTCTGTCATCACTTCATATCAGACCATGAAACTAGCGGGAACTAGTCGGTCTGCTACTTTTTTTTTTTTACTGCAGGAGCCTGACAACCTAAACCTTCAGGCTTCCATGAACATTTGACTTGTCATAGGTTTTTGGCACAAAGTTCATAAACGACTAGTTTGCATTTAATGTTATCTGGACCTGATACTCTAGTTTTATAAGATCTGGGGTAGGGTAAGGGTGGCCCTCGCTGCTAAGGTATCCAAAACATCATCAACCACTTCATAGCATGTCAGTTTAATAGGCTCCACCTCTCTAATACAGCAAGCCTGGACATGCTACTCGACATTACTGTTTTCCTCAAATACATGTGTACTGTTGGGATTGATGCATTTCTTGTCTGCTTGGCACAGTATGAGCTCTGGTCCTGTTAGGTGGGCCGTAGAGCTCATACAGTGCATAGAGCAAATATTCTCTTGCAACCCACTGCTGCTGGTTGTAGCAGTGTTACTTATGAGAAAAGACATCTTTTATAAATATACATATTTTTTTTTATGGCAGTCCTTTAAACATTCTTTGTTCTTTGGCAGGTGATGAAACCTTAAGGACAGCTTGGTAAGTTTCATTTCAGAATTCAGTTACTGTTCAAGTGTCATGATGATTGGCTTAATGTTCAACTGCTCTGAAGTGTGATTGAGAGATGCCCAACTGAACAAAATGCAGCAGTCTCTGCTGCCACTGCTTATGGAAACCCATAGTAACTTTAGTTCTCCCTCAACAGGTGTCCTCCCTGGCCTTCAACACTGCAGCATGATGTAAGTACTCTGACGTCCCTTAACAAGAGGGTTTAAACTAACAAGGTGGCTGCTATACATGCACAAGATTCCAGGAGGAAAACAAACCGTGTTTCCAAAGTAACTGTCGAGAGTGATATGGAGTGTGAAACATGTTGTATAATGACAGCACTGTACGGTATCTGCAGCCAGCTGCTTTCTCAGCTAGTTAGTTCATAAGTCAGTGCGAGACAAAACTCACAAACTGGCATCGTTGGTCTCCATGCTGCCTGTGTGTGGAGTCCTGGTATGTTTGTTGAAACATTATTCATTAGAAAGCCATGTCTTTACCCTGTGTCTGTACATAGTACATGCAAACCACTGCAGATGTAACTAATTTCATCAAAAGGGTGAAATGCATGTCAAGTAATGATAAAACATGAATGCTGCAAACATGTTTTAACTCTCTCCTGCCTGCCTTCTTCAGGTGTGCTGCAGCAGAGGCTGTCCTCCCAGGATGCAGCAGGAGAGGCTGTCCTCCCAGGATGCAGCAGGGCGTCACAGCAGAGGTGAGAGTGTACGACTGTCACAGAACTGAGGTCTATCCCGACTGACCTTTACCTATAGGGCCGTGTCGTTGGAAATACCTCACAGAATAAATCTGTGGTTACGCTTTACCCACATGTCCATTCCCATGAGCATTGTGAGATATTACTGCAGGACACATGCTTATTTTGAAAGATTAAAGGAGAAATAAATAATCTGCATCTTTAGAACTGTTATATAATGAATTGGGATGTAATTAAATAATCTTGACTTTCAGAATCCTGGGATGTGAAGAAGAGTGACTCCATCTTTTTCCTGTGAGTAAACTGAATTTCCCCTCTGGTATTAAAGCATTATCTAATGAGTGATGTTGCTCTCTGTGTTGGTCATATACCAAGGCTTTCAGGACTCTCCATTCTTGTTTTGCTGTGGAATTGACCAGAAAATAAAAAGCATCCCAGAGGTCTCCTTCAGCAGCCTGCTGAGGAGGCCTGTGGGAACATGATCTTCCCAACTGAAAATGGAAAAATGAGTTTAAAGTTGAGATGTTTGGTAACTGTGATGACTGAATGTGTCTCCTGTGTTTAGGTGGCTGTGATGGCAGAACAATCCTGAGTCAAGAATCCTGAGACTCCAGAACTTTTGAAAGCAGTAGGTGGGTTTGTCTTCCTGCAATTCTGATATCTGTCCAATGATTGAAAACACCTGATGCTTACAGCACTGTACGGTATCCGCAGCCAGCTGCTTTCTCAGCTGGTTAGTTCATAAGTCAGTGCGAGACAAACTCAATAACTGGCATCGTTGGTCTCCATGCTGACTGTGTGTGGAGTCCTGGTATGTTATTTGAAACATTACATCATTAGAAGCAGGCTGACTTTAAAAAGCTGTATGCAGGTGGCTTTAGAACATGCCAGTGAGACGCTTTAACAAAAAAGAAACGTCTTCCTCTTGATAGTTGGCATAAACCAACTTCCTCACACAGCCCATTCACCATATGCTAGTTCTCATGAGAGGTAATGTTTTGGTTATCTCCTCCACTTGAAGTGTTTGTGCAGCGAAAAACCAAATGTGTTGATGGGTTGGAAATTCCTCCGTCAAGTCAAATTAAATGATGATTATTTACTTTGAGGTGCAGCTGGAACAGTCGTGTTTTTACATTTTGGTTATTATCTCAAACTGCCCACCTTTGGTAACTACTCGCATACTAATCTCCTAAACCTTTGCTAGATCACGATAAGATTACACTGATCTAAAGGTATCATGATATGACAGAACTGCATGTGCTGACACACTCCTTATTGTCCTCCAGGTGTTTTGCAGGATAGGCTGTCCTCCCAGGATGCAGCAGGGCATCACAGCAGAGGTGAGAGTGTATGACTGTCACAGAACTGAGGTCTATCCCGACTGACCTTTACCTATAGGGCCGTGTCGTTGGAAATACCTCACAGAATAAATCTGTGGTTACGCTTTACCCACATGTCCACTCCCATGAGCATTGTGAGATATTACTGCAGGACACATGCTTATTTTGAAAGATTAAAGGAGAAATAAATAATCTGCATCTTTAGAACTGTTAAATAATGAATTGGGATATAATTGAATTATCTTGACTTTCAGAATCCTGAGATGTGAAGAGGAGTGACTCCATCTTTTTCCTGTGAGTAAACTGAATTTCCCCTCTGGTATTAAAGCATTATCTAATGAGTGATGCTGCTCTCTGTGTTGGTCATATACCAAGGCTTTCAGGACTGGGCTTGGATCAGTACCAGATCGCTGAGCTGGTCCTAGCAGAGCCACTTGTCAGCAGGACGGCCCTGTGCAGTGGGCTGATCTCAGGACAACAGTCGCTATAGAACATCAGGTTTTGCTTTCACCTCTGCACTGCTGGTTGCAGAACGGTGTCAATGAGGCCTGGCACATTCACCATGTCTATTGGTTTAGAGATGCATCACTGTTTCCTCTAACCACCCCCACCATCAGGTTTTCCTTTTATACATCTAGTTCCTTTTGCTTACAATATTGGCTCAGTTTAATTGTTGGCTGAGATGGCTATGTTCAAACCTCCTGAATAATAACAAAATTATTTTTTCCCCTTTTATTGCAGGATATGATCTTACGGCTCGCCTCGATGGGGGAAGATTTTGTGCTGCCCCTCTTGGATGTGAGGTTAGTATTTGTTTTCATGGATTCAGTCTAATGGTGTTGTCTATGGCAGGGGTTCCCACACTTTTCAGCCTGCGACCCTCAAAATAACTGGCGACTCCAAGTTTCACTTTCAATTGCATGATATAGCCCAGCGCAACACCAACCAATTCCATTTAACTTCAAATTCCCCTCGAGTAAGTCACACGTTTCCTGCTTGTCTCTATATTATTCATTTGGCTGTTGCACACGGAGTGTCCTGACCTGGCTGTGTGTGAGCCCCGCCCCTCACAGCGCGTCTGGCTAAAATGCTGGTCACATCCTTATGTAAACAAAAACGCATGTAAACGGCAATTTATCGAGGTCGGAAAAGTTATCGAGTTCATTTTTATTTATCGTACGATAAGTCAAGTCAGAAAGACAAACAGTGAAACCAATTTAGATGTCATGTGTGTTCTGTCATCACTTCATATCAGACCATGAAACTAGCGGGAACTAGTCGGTCTGCTACTTTTTTTTTTTACTGCAGGAGCCTGACAACCTAAACCTTCAGGCTTCCATGAACATTTGACTTGTCATAGGTTTTTGGCACAAAGTTCATAAACGACTAGTTTGCATTTAATGTTATCTGGACCTGATACTCTAGTTTTATAAGATCTGGGGTAGGGTAAGGGTGGCCCTCGCTGCTAAGGTATCCAAAACATCATCAACCACTTCATAGCATGTCAGTTTAATAGGCTCCACCTCTCTAATACAGCAAGCCTGGACATGCTACTCGACATTACTGTTTTCCTCAAATACATGTGTACTGTTGGGATTGATGCATTTCTTGTCTGCTTGGCACAGTATGAGCTCTGGTCCTGTTAGGTGGGCCGTAGAGCTCATACAGTGCATAGAGCAAATATTCTCTTGCAACCCACTGCTGCTGGTTGTAGCAGTGTTACTTATGAGAAAAGACATATTTTTGTTTATGGCAGTCCTTTAAACATTCTTTGTTCTTTGGCAGGTGATGAAACCTTAAGGACAGCTTGGTAAGTTTCATTTCAGAATTCAGTTACTGTTCAAGTGTCATGATGATTGGCTTAATGTTCAACTGCTCTGAAGTGTGATTGAGAGATGCCCAACTGAACAAAATGCAGCAGTCTCTGCTGCCACTGCTTATGGAAACCCATAGTAACTTTAGTTCTCCCTCAACAGGTGTCCTCCCTGGCCTTCAACACTGCAGCATGATGTAAGTACTCTGACGTCCCTTAACAAGAGGATTTAAACTAACAAGGTGGCTGCTATACATGCACAAGATTCCAGGAGGAAAACAAACCGTGTTTCCAAAGTAACTGTCGAGAGTGATATGGAGTGTGAAACATGTTGTATAATGACAGCACTGTACGGTATCTGCAGCCAGCTGCTTTCTCAGCTGGTTAGTTCATAAGTCAGTGCGAGACAAAACTCACAAACTGGCATCGTTGGTCTCCATGCTGCCTGTGTGTGGTGTCCTGGTATGTTTGTTGAAACATTATTCATTAGAAAGCCATGTCTTTACCCTGTGTCTGTACATAGTACATGCAAACCACTGCAGATGTAACTAATTTCATCAAAAGGGTGAAATGCATGTCAAGTAATGATAAAACATGAATGCTGCAAACATGTTTTAACTCTCTCCTGCCTGCCTTCTTCAGGTGTGCTGCAGCAGAGGCTGTCCTCCCAGGATGCAGCAGGAGAGGCTGTCCTCCCAGGATGCAGCAGGGCGTCACAGCAGAGGTGAGAGTGTACGACTGTCACAGAACTGAGGTCTATCCCGACTGACCTTTACCTATAGGGCCGTGTCGTTGGAAATACCTCACAGAATAAATCTGTGGTTACGCTTTACCCACATGTCCACTCCCATGAGCATTGTGAGATATTACTGCAGGACACATGCTTATTTTGAAAGATTAAAGGAGAAATAAATAATCTGCATCTTTAGAACTGTTATATAATGAATTGGGATGTAATTGTATTATCTTGACTTTCAGAATCCTGGGATGTGAAGAGGAGTGACTCCATCTTTTTCCTGTGAGTAAACTGAATTTCCCCTCTGGTATTAAAGCATTATCTAATGAGTGATGTTGCTCTCTGTGTTGGTCATATACCAAGGCTTTCAGGACTCTCCATTCTTGTTTTGCTGTGGAATTGACCAGAAAATAAAAAGCATCCCAGAGGTCTCCTTCAGCAGCCTGCTGAGGAGGCCTGTGGGAACATGATCTTCCCAACTGAAAATGGAAAAATGAGTTTAAAGTTGAGATGTTTGGTAACTGTGATGACTGAATGTGTCTCCTGTGTTTAGGTGGCTGTGATGGCAGAACAATCCTGAGTCAAGAATCCTGAGACTCCAGAACTTTTGAAAGCAGTAGGTGGGTTTGTCTTCCTGCAATTCTGATATCTGTCCAATGATTGGAAACACCTGATGCTTACAGCACTGTACGGTATCTGCAGCCAGCTGCTTTCTCAGCTGGTTAGTTCATAAGTCAGTGCGAGACAAACTCAATAACTGGCATCGTTGGTCTCCATGCTGACTGTGTGTGGAGTCCTGGTATGTTATTTGAAACATTACATCATTAGAAGCAGGCTGACTTTAAAAAGCTGTATGCAGGTGGCTTTAGAACATGCCAGTGAGACGCTTTAACAAAAGAGAAACATCTTCCTCTTGATAGTTGGCATAAACCAACTTCCTCACACAGCCCATTCACCATATGCTAGTTCTCATGAGAGGTAATGTTTTGGTTATCATCTCCACTTGAAGTGTTTGTGCAGCAAAAAACCAAATGTGTTGATTGGGTGCAAATTCCTCCCGACTACTCAGTCAAATTAAATGATGATTATTTACTTCGAGGTGCAGCTGGAACAGTCGTGTTTTTACATTTTGGTTATTATCTCAAACTGCCCAGCTTTGGTAACTACTCGCATACTAATCTCCTAAACCTTTGTTAGATCACGATAAGATTACACTGATCTAAAGGTATCATGATATGACAGAACTGCATGTGCTGACACACTCCTTATTGTCCTCCAGGTGTTTTGCAGGAGAGGCTGTCCTCCCAGGATGCAGCAGGGCGTCACAGCAGAGGTGAGAGTGTATAACTGTCACAGAACTGAGGTCTATCCCGACTGACCTTTACCTATAGGGCCGTGTCGTTGGAAATACCTCACAGAATAAATCTGTGGTTACGCTTTACCCACATGTCCGCTCCCATGAGCATTGTGAGATATTACTGCAGGACACATGCTTATTTTGAAAGATTAAAGGAGAAATAAATAATCTGCATCTTTAGAACTGTTAAATAATGAATTGGGATGTAATTGTATTATCTTGACTTTCAGAATCCTGGGATGTGAAGAGGAGTGACTCCATCTTTTTCCTGTGAGTAAACTGAATTTCCCCTCTGGTATTAAAGCATTATCTAATGAGTGATGTTGCTCTCTGTGTTGGTCATATACCAAGGCTTTCAGGACTCTCCATTCTTGTTTTGCTGTGGAATTGACCAGAAAATAAAAAGCATCCCAGAGGTCTCCTTCAGCAGCCTGCTGAGGAGGCCTGTGGGAACATGATCTTCCTAACTGTACACATGCTGCTCTCATCAGTCACATGAAGGTGAAGTGACCCGACTACTGTAGATTGTACCTGCTGAACCTTTGCTTCCTGTATTTTCAGATTGCTGCTCGACAATGATCTGGTGACATCATTGCACATTGTGGCAAATACCTTTGTACAGCTGTTGTGGTTGTGTACACTGCAATAGAATGTCTACTTATTGAAATAAACAACCATTACTCTCACTTGTCTGTCAGTGTCCTCGTATCCATGAACTATAATCAAGAATTTAAAAGTGATAACTTTCTTAATGTAATGTTTCATTACTTAGCTCAGGGGTTCCCAACCTTTATTGTGCCAAGGACCGGTAGATACATTAAAAAAAAATCGCGGACCGGTTGTCAATTTTAACTGATTTTAATATTTACTCACCACCAGCAGGTAGCAACAGAGGCTAATTGTATGTAACAGCCTGAACAAATACTAGAACAATATGCATCCAAAACATATTAACAAAGTTTAAAAAAGAACCGGTGTTGTTTTTTGGTTTTTCGGAAAACCAAAAAACCGACGTTATTCAGTTTTTAAACCAAAACGGGAAAACAGATAAATCAACGTTTTGGTTTTGTTTGTATGATTTACGGATAATCCAGTGAATGCTGGGAAAATGTCGTTCATTCCGGTGCACTCCCGACAGCATTTAGCATCGAGATTAAGATTAAACTAATTTATTTTGGGAACAGCCGCATATATGCCGGTGTCGGACAGACACAAACACACCGAACACACAGAGCTGAGCTGAGCAGAGCACATACACACACACATCATGCGCCTTGGTGACTGACTGGACATCTCCTTCATAAAACTAATAAAAGGGGGAGTAATCGGGCAGTTCGATGTGTGTAGATGTGTGTGTGGTTAACACGTAGCAGCCTGCAGTCACTCTTAAACTGTTCTGATTAAGTTAAACACAGCGAAGGCGGTGCGTAAAAAGGCACAGCTCTTTACCGAGTATAGGCCTACGTCCCGCTGCCTCCTGATGCTGCAGCCATTTCATGAAGGAGGGTTTCCTTCTATAAAACAGCTGCGGGCAGCAGATCGTGAGAGTCCCGGACATTAATTCATAGATCAAGGCATACTGGTTTACTCTCCTGTTTTGCCAATCCAGTGCTTAAACAAATAGCTCTACACCCCTGGCCGACATGTCCTTAAAATGAAGTCCGAGTTTGAAATATATCTCAAATAATGTATGCACCACCATTTCCCCACATAAACATAACAGTCTGCAATCAAACGGTTGTCTCCTGTGCGCTCCTCTTCCTACTTGGCGCACCGGTAACATGCTCGTGCGCACAAGAGGCTGAGACCTTAGGCTGAGCCGCCGAATCCCTCGGAACATCATAAAAGCCATTTTCAACGGTTTTCTGGTGAAAGATTAACTAGCTACTGGATGAAATAATATGACTGGTGGCATAGGTGCGAAAATTAAACACTTTTTGAAAAAAATATTATGATAAAATATTTTTATATATTTATAATTCTGCAAATATTACGATAAACTCACAGCTATTTCGCGGCCCGGCAGTAACACCTCCGCGGCCCGGTACCGGTCCGCGGACCGGGGGTTGGGAACCCCTGACTTAGCTAATGCATTTATTCAAAGCATACTACCTGAAATGATTAGTGCTCAACTTGAATACTCTATTCTGATTGGACATATTGGATGTTCCAGAGGTCAAGTCTTGCTAACAGACCGCTGCTAAAGAGAATTGGTTACCATCATGGATGTATATTACAGGGTGCGTACGGGTGCTGGAAATCCTTGAAAATGCTTGAAATTGTACGAGGTGTTTTCAAGGTTTGAAAAGTGCTTGAATTTTGGGAATGGTGCTTGAAATTGTAAATGCTTTACTTCGCTTTTTAGATTAAAAGAAAATAAAGAAGTCGGAGCGCGCTTAATTGCTTCGCTTTTACATAAAACAGCTCCGCTCCGGCCTTCCCGCGCAATGCGCGTGACCGGCAAGTGTTTTTGTTACGTGTGACCTGGGCATTCTGATGAGGGTGATAGATGACAGTATGCCAGGAGGTTGCCGTTTCAACGAGCGTTGGCTAGCAGAAGACAAATACAAGCCATGGCTAAGACGAGGGTCAAGCGAAGCCCAAGAGTAGCCTCCTGCAAAGTGTGCAACAATAACGATGCGAGAGTCTGCGCTGACGAGCCACACACCACACGAAAGTGTTCTCAAAGCTGGTAAAGGTGCAGCTAGTTTGAATGACTTTGTATACTGCAGGGTAGCTTGTGAATTTACTCCAGGTGGAACTAAAGTCTGATTTAACACTTGATTATATTTCACATCATTCATCCACATCTGTAAAGTAACTAACGGTATTAAATACATGTAGTGGAGTAAAAGTAAACCATTTACCTCTGACTTGTGTTTACTGCCAACCTAAAAGTACCTCAAAAATAGTAATCAATAATGTATTGAAAAGTTATTTGGCTGATTGTTTTATATTGGCTCAGCCAGGTTATATGGGATGCCCAGTCTACGTACAGATGGGTCACTCATTTTGAAATATTAAACTTAGTTTTCTTTTCTAAACATTTTAATTGTTCATCATGTAGAATGCTATTATGAAACACACATTTGGTTGTTTATAGCATAAAGAACATCAGATTTAATGTGAGGTAGGGAAATAATCATTTGAGTATAAGTATGTGTATATAAATATGTAATTTACAACAGCTGTAAGATGCTTGAAAATGCTTAAAGTGCTTGAATTTGACTTTGGAAAAGGTGTAAGAACCCTGATAATAAGAACTGGATACAGCGTCGGAGGCGGGGTCTCGTTCTCATGAGAGCTGCTCATTGGCGCATGATGACAAAATGGCCCAACTTTTGAGAGTGAAACGTCACAGATTACCCGCCATGCCTAGCTTAGTTTCAGAGCAGGAGAACCATGAGAAGAACCCGTATGTGCGCTCGCAGAGCATGCGCCCCTTAAGCCCCGCCCCCTGAGCTCCCACTCGGCTCAGTAGAAAAAATGGAGACAAATAAATCTAGATTTGGCTTTTAGTGCATTTTACAACTTTAAGGACCTAATGATTATAATAAGGGCTATCAAATAGTTCATACTGGTAGTTTAGTTAAAAAAATTATCCGATGATTTACAGACTTTTCTTTCCCAATGTTAGTCAATGGGGAAAAGTCTTTCTGGGCCCAATGACGTCACGGACTGATACGGAAATTGTCGTACCGCCGTTTGGACACAACACATATTTTCATCAGAGTCCGGCGCACTTCCTGGGGGCTTGGGTACCATGCATAGACTGTATAAATGGACGTAGTGTACATGACGTCACCAGTGGCGTAACTATCGACGTTTCAATGGCATTGACCGGTTCATGCAGTCTCCAAAGTAACCAAGCAACCTAAATTAATTTGTAATTTGTCTGTCCAATGACCTTGCTCCCTTTCATGTCATGTGATACCTTGCGTGACAAGCGTACCGTTTAATCAACCTGTACTGTACTGTAGCTATAGCAGCAGCAAGTTCGGTAGCATTATAACAAATGTAATAGCTTGCATTTATAATGTACAGCAAACCAAAGCACAAGAGCAGCACTCAAAAGAGAAAGGACGAGAGAACAAGGAGATGTAACAGCTAAACTGACAAAATTAGACACTTTTTTTTTTCTTACATCGTCCTCCAAATCGAGCGCTAACGTTAGCAATGTTGATGTGCAGCGGCAGCCGGAGCCGGAGGCTAACGATAGCTCACCACCATCATTGCCATCTAGCTCCACAAGTGAAGCTGTATCCGTGGCCGTGGCTGTGCAACCTTCTTCTCCAGCCAGCCAGGAGGAGAGGCTGGATTTGGCTGTGCCCGGCGGTGGTCCAACAGTTCCCCCAAGGGCCCCAACCAATAGGGGACTCTATGGCGCTATTGAGACCCCTGACGCCAAGATCACAAGCTACCGGTCTATGTAGGCCTACCGGCCCATTCCCCAGAGACAAACATCAAGGAAACAGGTTCCCCCAGTGTTGTTGTTTCCTTTTATTTGCCACTGGACGTCACCCATAGGATTCTGCAGAGTTGCTGAGAAGCCTAAAGTAGGCGGATTCGGCCACTGCCGTCTTGACAGTAGAGATGGGCGAGTCCTGATTCATCCGGATCATTAACCCGGATCCTAGAAATGAGCTGGTCGTGACGAGTCTCCCCTCTCCATTAACCCGAGTCCTTGAGTCCCACACTTGGTGTGACGTACAAATTAAAACTATAAATTGCGTCACTCGCTACTCTCTTTATAACATGTAAAATCACATTACAACGTACCCCAGTCCATCTACCTACCCTTTAGCAAGTATACAGGATAGCTGCCTGCCAGAAGTTATCGTTTGGCTCAGGGGAGGGGACGCGGATCAGTGAAACTTCCTGCAGACTCGTGGGGACTCAGAGGAGCCGACGGCTCCTAACCGTAATAGCATAGCAGATCCAGCGATCCATACTCGTCATGTGCACGAGCATAGCCCCTCCTCCAGCACCCGGCTCCCGCGCCGGAGTCAACAGCAGATTCGCAGATTCGCAAATCCTGACTCGCTGCAACACACAGCGGATCAGACTCGTGCGGACTCGGAGCCGTAACCATATAGCAGCAGATCCAGAGATCCAGCAGACTCGTCGTCATGCACGAGTCAACAGCAGACTCAGATTCGCAAATCCTGACTCGCTGTGCAACACACAGCAGAGCAGACTCGTGCGGACTCGGAGCCGTATATAGCAGCAGATCCAGAGATCCAGCAGACTCGTGCATGAGGACGAGTCTGCTGGATCTCTGGAACAGCAGACTCAGATTTGCCAAATCGCAAAATAACCCTTTTTTTTGTGATCAACATTTTTTATTAAAGCAAAATACACTGTGTAGCGGAGGTTAATATAACGTCAGTTTAATAGATAGATAGATAGATAGTACTTTATTGATCCCAAATTGGGAAATTGTTGTTACAGCAGCATAAAAGGCATTTTACAATAAAACAAAACTACAAAATATACAAGAATAGAAAGAAAAATAAAATAAAATATACATGTTGAAATAGAAAATATACATGCAGATATTATATATATATATATACAAATATATATGGAATAATAATATGCTCGTGAAATGCATCAACTTTTCGGTTTCACCGATAGGATTTCTACGGTCTTGGTGATGCTGACTCATATGACTCAAATGACTCGT